ATTTTGTGTTTGTGCTAATTTTCTGCTAGGCCAAATGTAGTTTATCATTTTGCCAAAGAGTGTGGTCTCATCCCCCATCCCACCCCCAAGATACTAGGAAAGATTGTGTTCAGGAAAAGTTGCTAATGCCCAACAGAGCTGTAGTCATAAGACAAGAGCTAGGAGGATAATCTTCAGCTGTTTACATGTGTTTGGTGCCATGGCAAATTTTGGTTGATATTTTAAAAATCAGCTTGTGAAGTGGTTTTATCTTTATACTAGAGATGGTCTTCTAGACTGTAATGAGTCTTCTAGCTCATTTTGTGTGTGTTAAATATAGTACTGCTTCCGCAAAGACAAATGATGGTGTCGTATACTTCTATTTAAACTTAGTTTGATGCTTTTATAAAGTGTTTCAGAAAAGGCGAAGCAATCTATCCCCAAGTGAAGTCAGCTTCTGATGTCTTAAACTCCAAATCACAGTTGTTTTGTGGTGAATCACAGCAGCAAAAGAACTTGGAGGTAGAACTGAAGTTTGTAGTTTGAATCCTGTAAGTTGTCTGCGTGCATAAGCAGGAAATCCASGCTCCGTGACGGGTTTAGGGAGAGTTATCTATATTATTGTGTGGGGATAGGGGTGGAGGAGGAGAGAGCAGTTGTACAGATAGACAAACTGGCATGGCTAGTACACTTCAGTGCAGTCTCAGTTATCTTGAGCAATCCTCTTGGTCCCTTTACCACCTGCCTGGCATGTGGTACTGGGGCTGACTGGGAATTCTCCCAGCTGCAGCACAACAGGAAGATCAGATTCCGTGCACTGGCACAAAGGAGGCTTGTTTTTATCACAGAGGCTACAGCACCAGCACTGCTAACGATGGGCATTGAAACATGAGCCTTCTAATAATGTAATTTGAAATTGATTATATACCCCCGTCTGGCCTGTGTTTGGTCTTCCTAAGACTGCAGAAATCCTGCCCTGTTGAGTAATATGAGTTGCTGACTTGAAAATCACAGTAAAGTATCTGCTGTGACTTGTTTTCTTAGATGCAGGATGTCATTCAGATATAGGAAGGAGAGTTGCTGCTTTGAGGAGTTCACATCTACAAACAGAAGCCCAGAGGAAAAGCTCTGAATACCTTCTGTGTGATGTTTATTCTGTGGGGCGTGGGGGGGACACAAAGCTTTACCCTCTTATTGTAGAGTAATTCTCTGAAATGTGAAAAAATATCAGGGTCACAGTTCCTGTGCACAGCAACTAGTACTTTTTTGTCCTTTTTTTTTTTTTTTTTCTCAGTTCATTCTGTCCACTGAACAAGACCAAGATCCTTTTGGTAAAAAGTAAAATATACATAATTAAATATAATATACATAATTAAATATTGTAACATGATAAAATATATAGAGTTCCATGATCTGACAGTAAACATTTTGTTCTAGAATTAGGAAAATTGCTAAGAAAAAATTGCTGAACATACATTTAATTCTTCCCAGTTTTTCCAAATGAGTCTCTGGTTACAGTAGCAAAAACTTTATTGTATAACTTGAAGGTAGTAATAAGTATCTAATTATTATAACCAGACATCTTAATATACAGATAATTAGCATTTAAATAGTCTTAAGCCTTCAGGTGTTGTATGCTAAAATATTTTCACCACCATGTATTCTTCTGATGTCCTCAGGTGCTACCAAGCTTTAAACATAAGAGTTTTGAGATCTTAGTTTTCATAACAGTCCCATTAAATGAATAACTTTTTTTCTTATTAAAAAACTTAAATTAAAAGCTTCAGTTTGATCTACGGAATATGATTGTTTTGGTAATGGTGTTTTTTTCCCCTTACATAAACTGTATGGAATTCTTGAAGAGGTTAAGGATCTTTTCCAGGAGCTGGGGTGGGTATTACTGCTGTAAGGATATGTGTCTGTCAAACTACTCTTGTTAGTAATAGTAACATTGGAGTCTTAACAGTCAGTCCCACTGAGAGAAATCAATTTCTAAAACTGGTTTATTTCATTAATTCTAGTTTTAATAATTTTATGTTTTAGTTTGTCGTGAACATAGGTAAGCATTGCTCAAGCTTTTCTTCTAATCATAGATCAAATATATATTTTGGGAAGAAAGCAATGCTCTTCGTTTGACTCCCAGACATGGAGTTTAAAACCCCCTGAAATATTGCAGAATATACTGTAATAATCCAAGAATTAACCTAGCAGACTTCTGCCTTGGACAGTTTACAGCATGTTTCTGAAGCTGTCAAAAGGCTACCTCAGTAAATTAGATAGCTGAGATTTTGTGATTAATTTCTGCTGTTGAAGATTTTGTTAGAAATCCCTGTATAACGCTAAACTCTTCGGACTTCTCTGTTGATATGAGTGATTGTGAACTGTCTAATCTTAACTTTCTATTGTGTTTTGTAGTSAGAATGGGAGAGGCAGTGTGAGTTTCTATATGTACTTTTGCTGTGAACAAGAAATAATCTCATTTCATCTAAAGAGCACACTTTATCTAGTAGCTTTTTCATTAATATTGTTCTGTGTTGGTTCCCAGTATGCACAAATGTAGGTAGTTCAAGAACCAAAGTTACAGTTTTAGTTGGTCACTTGCTGTTCTCTACTGTAAAAATGCTAAGAGTAGTTGAAAACTTAAATCTGTTCAACGTGCTTGGGTGGGTATTTATTCTTCATTTTTTGTCTCAATTCTCTGTTTAAGAAAACTTGCCTGTATCAGGCACAAGTTTTTCTGTGGCTTTCATTAGCTCACTTCTTATGAAGAAACCAATTCTGTATTTGTCATAGGGCTTAGATGCTGAGTTTTAAAAGAAATGCCACCCAAAAATTCAAAATGATATGAAATTAGTTAACTGATACATCATTCTTTATACTTGTCCTCTCTACTAAATGGAGCAGAGATGTTAGCAAAAAAACTATACTTGCATGAAGGCAAAATTTTGGGTTTGCCAGAGGTTTGACATTCAAAGATTAACCTGTTCTAAACACTTTAAAAAAGCCTGTAGTAAATTATKTACAGAAGAGGATGCAAATATGTTTCCATTCCCTATTTAGGTCCTCTCTAAGTGACTTCTCCAAGGCAACACAGTAGTTAACTTGGATAGTCACAATTAAACTCCTTGTGTTCTCAACTTTGTCCTTGGGAGCCCCTGGGTTCTCAGTCTGGGGTTAAGATTAAATGCAATCTGAAGGTTTGCAATTGTGCAGCTTTTTTCTGCACATTTCCATCTTGATGGAGCTAGGGTCTTTCCATGGAGGCGAGTCTCTATGTAGCGGGGAAAAAAGGAAGGAAGGAACAGTTGCTGTTATTTTTAAGTGACAGTTTTCTCATCAGGGTGTGTGGACTTGTGCTACAAGTAAATTGATATTTTTCTTTTTTTTTTTTAAATAAAAATCATGCTTGTTTATTCTAAAACTGCATTTGCAGATGTGTAGTACTGATAGTCTTGTTTAGCTTTCCAAAGTCAGTAATCTAGAGCAGCGAGGTTATTTTTTAGTTTTTATTAATAGCATGGACGTATAGTTGTAGCTGCTTGTTCAATAGGGCATGTAGTGCTTTCATGATGAAAGGGCTTCATCTGTAGATTTCTGGACCAAATAAATGACTGATTGGTAGTGGGAGGTGGAGGTGACAAGTAGGATTTTAATATAAAAAAAGAAATAACTAGAGTTTGAGAATAATATAAGTCTCTTCAGCACTTTCAAAAATGAGGGTATTTAAAGTTCTGTTGCTTCCATAGTGAATGTACTTATTGTGAATATCACCTCAAAACAGTCCATACTTCCCAGTTCATAACCTACCATGTTAGTAGCTGGATGTTGGATAAACTAACCTGGAATTGCTCTCAAGTGAAATGTCATCTGTAATATTTTGTGGTTCAAACTACACAATAAAATTTGAGACTAGGAGACTGACAATACTGTCACTGCCAGCAGTAGACTTCCTGTTTTCTCTTCTGTTCTCTGTGTTCATCAGCACCCGGTTCTGCTGGTTAGTGAATGGAAACTCTTCCACTTGTGCTGGTCTCCAAAGAGCGAAATTATTGTGACTCTCTGCTGCTGTGTCTTTTTATAAGGCAGGGGCTTAAACTTCAGCTCTGTGATTACTTATGTGTGGATAGAAACATATCTGCAAAGATCTTGTTAGCTGTGAAGTTAAAGCTTAAAATATGCTAATATTCTAGTATTTTAGTAGAAAATTGGAAGTATTTTGGAGGCTTTCTTTTTTAGCATCAGGCAAAGAAATTGAGCAAATATGTTATCATTTATATTGCAACTATCTTTTTAGAACTCTGACTCATGAGTTTTTATGATTCATGTGATGATTTAAGAGGTTTTACCTTGCAGTGCTACTGAATGTTCTGCTCATGACCTAGGCAGCATAATGGGCAGCGCCTCTTGTCGGCCTCCACATCTCATGTCCCACCACATTGGCTTACACTGCTGTTTGTTTCAGTCTTCAGAGATATTCTGGGATTTGAGTCTAGTGACTGTTCTGACCTGACACCTGGCTCTGCCATCTTTGAGTGTTGGTGTAACCTCTAGCAGAGCCAGTGGGCAAATGCCTAGTGTGGGTAACCTTGTTATATTTAGCTGTGGCAACTGACAGGRCTTTTATCGATCTTAATAAATGTGATGGAGAACAGGTCTTTCTCCCATGGGAGGGGGACACTGACCTTGCATAGAACTAGAAAAAATTGTACCTATATTGCTYCTCCCCTCATGGCAGTAATAATTTGTATTTTAATCCAGATTAAAATTGTAGGTCTCCTTAGTCTTTCCTGCYACGTCAAACCATTTTCTTTCAAAGTGGTGTGTTAAAGTTAACTTCAGCATTTAAAAAAGAAAATTTCAACCCCCCAAGAAAAACTAACAAAAAACACCCCTTATAAAATCCCAACAACCCCTCCCTTTCCAGCTTTTCAAATATTTAGATTTCTTTTTTTTTTGTTTCAAACTCTAGTTAAGATATTTGTAATTATCTTTTTTTTGTTGTTGTTGTTTTTGTTTTGTAGGAGGGGGTAGAGAGCTGAAAGGGATAACTTACTCAAGACTGGTAAGTACTTCTTTCCAAGACTAAAATGACTTACCTAAGAATAGATGATAGGAAGAGCTGGTGTCCATTCCTGGAGAAGTTTGATGGTTACTGAAACCAAAATTCTATCTATTCTTATATTCAGAAATTAAGACTTAAAAAGTAAATGTTACTGATGGAAGCCCCAGTCTTATAAATAAAATCTTTGTAAGGCTGAGATTTGGGCCCAAGGGTCTGTAAGTGCAATGGACATTTAAATTAATCTACTCAAAAATAATAATGTTGAATTGTTGGGTTTTTTTTCTGTGTAATGTGAAAACAAAGTTTATTTGAAGGGATTTTTAGCACAGAAAGACTTTGCTCTAAAATTTTGAKTTATTCAGGCCTTCCCTACACACAGAGGCATTTATGGCTTTGTATGTGTCCCACCTTTGTTTATATAAATATATATACCTTGTCAGCTGTGTTTCTAGTTTAGCTTCCAAAATAGACATCGTTTAAATAGTGTGATATTTCAGAGTTTGCTATGTAGATTGGATTTAATTGAGATAACAGAAGTGTGAATGCACTTTCGTGATTATTGTAGAGTTTAAGGTTTCATTCAGTGTTTGAATATTTAAATAGTCTATATGTAGTGCATTGGGGCACTTATCTGAGTATGAAATAATAAGTCTTGAAGCAACCACTTAAGAAATAAGTGATAATTGGTAACAAATGAATGCCAGCAAGAAATTGAATGGAAGGCTGCTGCCTCCAGTAGTTGAAATCCATCCAAAAATGTCTAATTTACCTCTTGCTCAGTGTTCTTTCTGGCTGAGACTTGGAAATATATCTGGATGTACGAGAGATGCATGTACTCCTGAATATCATGTGCTTTCCTTTTGGAGAACACTGATTCTGGTGTTGAGCAAGGCGTTTGCTTGCTTTCCTTTAAAAGTAATGGAATGAAGGACTTTTGCAGGCCAAGCTGTCCGTGCGATTCCAGTCCTTTACAAGCTTTTTATTTGAAATAATTCCACTGCCGTAAGAGTAAAGTGGAAAATGCACCATGTGCTATGATTAATCCAGAGGTGGTTTTACACCTCTTCAAATGTGGTATTATAGGCAGTTCATAATGGCACTGAACTTAAGTTTTTTAAATCTTCTCTTTAAGTTCAGTCTAAAAGAATAAAAGTTTCAAAATACTAAAAGTTTTTGCACTTGCAAAATGTATGGCCACTTACATTGTTCTGTAGCTCCTCTGAGGAAGTATGAGCAATATTTAACCAGATACCCTGATAGATATTTATAGATATTATTCTATGTGAACCAGAAGAATGCAGTTTATGTTTTGCTGGATGTTAGGACTGATTGCACTCTACTTTTTTTTTTTCTTCTTTTTATGTATTGGTTGTTTATCATTGGATAATTTTGTAAGGTAGTTCGGGGGAATTCTAGACAGGGATAACTGAATAGTTACGCCTGCTTGGGAAGGAAAACCGCAAATATGTGTTCTAGAAAGAAACAATTGTATATATTTCACATTCAGAATTTGGCAACTTGACCRAACTTCTAAATGAAATATATTTTTTCATGTTTATACCACTATAAACATAGCTAGGCTGAGCAACTACTTTTTTTCTGCAAAGCAGTGTCACTTTTTTCTTGAACTTCTTAAAAATTAATTTTGCAAAATTTTGCTAGTTGTTCATGGCATAGATGCRGTTACCTTGGATTAGTTTTTATGAACCATCGATACTACAATTTCTATTTGTCAAATTAAGTTGTGCATTAATAGAAGTTGCTCAATCTTTATATGTTCTTTTACAGAAATACTATGTCATATTTGCCATGAACTTGTATTGGATGTTACAGCTACATATATTTAAATGATGGATATTTTTTATATTCTCCCTTGACATAACTGTTTTGCTGTTCTGCCCTCAACTTTGAAGATAGCATGTAGCTACAGTGATACAAACTATTCATCAAGTGTGCCTTCTGATTTGTTGAAGACACACTGAGAAAAAAAATGACCATGTCTGCTTTTATCTTTACCCTGAAACTGGATTTTCAAGGGTCAAAAGGACTTGCCTCTGCAGTGGGTTCCAGTTTTCATTAACCAGTCTCCCATGTGGTTTTCTGAAGCATGGTTRCTTTGAAACTGCAGTGGTAGGGACTTGTAGCATGCTATAATTGTTCTTGTCAGTGAGTGGAAGTAATAATCCGTGGTTCTGTTTTCTCATTACTGTTTGTGGTAATGGGACAGGGAACTATATGTAATTTCCATGTATCCCTTGATACAGATTGCAGTTTTATAGAGACTAACGCTGCATAGGCAGCTGTTTTCACTCATCGGTGTCACATGTGGGAGAGGCCCTTACAGAAGGTCATTTCATGTGTTGACTAGAAAGTTTGATCAGGCCTTTGTTATTTAAATAAGTAACTTTAAGCTAACAGCAGACAACACTGACAAAGAATGAGTTTAAATATAATGCTTTTAAAACCTCCTTTAKAGTCTTCTCTTTTTGTAACACATTCCTTTTTGAAAAGATAAATGATAAATAAAACCAAACACACCTCTTCAACTTTTTTATTTTCATGAGTTCACAAACTTGTCCCGCACTTCAGTTTACTGTAGTGAGACACCATTAAAATAAAATTCTTTAACTTATGGGAATTACTCTCTTTTTACAGCTTGCATGTCTAATCTAAGCTGTCAGGATCCTTTTGAAAACATTGTAGTCTCATTATGAAAGCCTCTTGAGTTGGCAACAATACCTGTGCGATGATTGTGAGCAATTTTCAAAAAAATAATAAAAAAGGAACTATTTTAACACTGCAGCACTTCTTTAGTTGTGGTGTCTGGATGGAAAAGTGACTGGAAAGATTGCTATTTAATGTTTTCCAATGACTTTCGTGTGTATGTATTTATAGATGTTTTTACACAGGTTCCACTATGATTTGAGCWTATGGGAATCTTAATCCTGTTTCAGAAGCTGATACTTTTAACATATTTCTGAACAAAAATCTCTTGTCCAACTTTCAAGGCTATTAGAAGTATGTCTGATTATGCTTTCCTATGTCAGAAATTGAGGGGATTCATTTGTTTGGAGTATAAGTGAAGATGGCTAACTATAGTCTCATGACCTACAAATAGAATTCCAAGAATAAAAATATTTTTAATTTAATGTTTTTGAAATGTCTTGTGCTGCTTTATATCACTCTTCTGTTCCTTCAGAACAGATTTCAACTGAAACTACTAACTTGACACAAACTTAGGCAGTGGRTTATTAATATGTTAATGTTGTTCTGTTAAATAACATGCACACTGTCCCATCTAAGAACAACTATAGTACCAGGCAAGTATGTTAATGCAGTACATTCAATTTAACTAATTATTGCTGTTTGGGCTGTAGAATTTTATTCTCCAGAATAAGTTTTCATCTACACAGATTTTTATAACATTCTCAGTAGTTAAATTTTCTAATTTAATACACAACTGCAATAGGATATTGGTAGGAAATAGCTGCCTGCAAACTAAGATAAGGAATAAGTATGTCAACTTTGGGATATGTGGGAAGTAACAAATTTGACTAAATGACTCCAAGGCAGGCATTTTGTAGAGTCTGTAGATTTCTTGTGTTTGAAAGACTGACTGTGTTTAGGCTAGAAAGCTGCATTTGAATGTAGTTCACTATTGAATTCCTGTTCTGTTATAATCTCCTTTTTTCAAATTGAGTTTTCCCCTTCACTAACCAAAATAAAAACTTTGTTTTTTCTGTAGGACTGGTGTTAAAGAGGAAACCAGAAACTAAAGGCACTGGAATCAGCAAACACACATCTAGAGAAAGTGGAGAAGGTAGAGAATGGAGCTGCAGACTCTACAGGAGGCTCTGAAAGTGGAAATTCAGGTTCACCAGGTAATTTATATTCTTTCTTGCTTTAAAGTAATAGCAACGTTAGTACTGCTGACAGTTTACTACTAATGGAAGCATAAAGCAATTGCACTACAACTATAGTAATAATTGTTTTAGAAGCTTGAATCTACTTCAGAATTTTATACTCYGCATTTTGACCCCACCACCTGTTGTTTTTTAGCAAATGTGAAAAAATCTACATATCAAGCTGTGGGTGGGGATTTTTTTTGATATTTTGTAGCAGTAATAAAAACATTCTGAAAACTGTGTTCAGCAACTTCTATCTGGAAGATTTTTCTGATATTCTGAAGCCAACTTCAATATTCAGGTGGCAGTGGAGGACTATGGTGAAGGAACTTTCAAATGAAGTGTATATAGAGCTGCATAGTTTCATCTGATGCTTCTCTTCTGGAATGTCTTCTACTTAAGTAGCTTCTAAACTTGTGTATTTTTGAAAACCAAAATGTTTGTGCTTGGGCTTTGTAAATTTTTACATGTTGGGTCTTTTTGCTAGTTACCTGTTCGATGCTATATGGCAGTATGGTTGTAGTTTGCCATTTTTTTACAATGCAAATGAGGAAACATTAAAACTAATGAAAACAAAACCTAATTTAGTAAATAATAGGAGGACATATGGATATTAATTCTTGGAAGAAAATTATTACAGCCATAGGCACAGAGTAGCTGGCCATTTGAAATGTTAAATTTACAATGAGACTTTTTCTCAGCTCACTTCTCCGAGTACTTCTGAAGATCTTCAGATATCTGAAACTCRCAGCTGTTACACAGTGGATAAAAGAAATACATGACATTGATCAGTGTAGTCCATCATATGAAATTTGGAAAATGTCTCAAAATTACTTGGTGACTTGTCTAAAATGTGATCTGAATGGCTTGTTCAGTACTTGCTGCAATGAAGAGCATATTGCAAGAACTTGAATGGGACAATTAGTAAAATCAGGCTATGTCTGCTTTAACAAAATACAACTTACAGCTAGGGAAGAAAACTTAYAGCTAGGGAAGAAAACTTGAAAAAGCTTAAGATGGATTTCAGGACTACAGATAAGTATTTTGCTCTCCTCAAAAGCTCCAAGGCCTTTGCATTCAAAACTTTAATGAAGTTTTGTTATGGCAGTAAGAAAGTTCAGAAATCACCCATGGCATTTTGCTGCAGACATAKAAATATTTAATGGCAGTAAGTAATTTTTTCAAGTATTATCTACTGTGAAGCAATTAAAACGTTAGCCATGCTTGTGTTCATATGACAGCRTTTACCTCTTGTGTGCATCTTCATTCCCCTTTATGAACCAAAAATTTTAAGACTGTGATTTTTGAATAATCCTTAGCATCTATTCATAATGACACTGCTGGACAGGGATGAAGACTGGAATATGTCCAAAAATACTCTTGTTTTTAACAGCTTGAAGTTGTTGGGGTTTTTGACCTGGTTTGCTTTAACTTTGCCCAGTTGTTATTATAATGAGCTCTGCACTGAAATCAACTTTAATTAAATTAGGTTTTAGTTGGTAAATCTAGAAAAACCATATATCAAAAGGTTGTTTTTTAAAATTCAMGATACTGGATATTTCTATAATTAAGGCTAAGAAAAGGTCTATGCGTTTACAGTGGAAAATAACATTTGCAACAAAATGTTGGGTGCTTCTGTAAAGGTTTTGTGAACTGTGCTTGTGTGGTTATTACTTGTCAATATGCACACTGATAGAAATGAAAACAGATTTGGCACAAAACCCCTCCAAATTTTTAAATTAAATGCTTGAACTTTCTTGTATAACTCTGAATTTTATAACCGCAAGAGATACAATATGTTATTCCTTTTTACTCAGGATTTATGGAAAATTATCTCTTGTCATCTTTTACTTCTTTTTGTATTTCTTTTTCTGAGGACTCTAACAAAGCTTGCCAGCACTCACACAGTCATGGTTTGTTGTCCTGTTGGAAGTGGTGGACAGATGTCTGTGATGAGCATAAGGAATTCAGCTCAGCACTGTAGCCAAACCCTTTGAGTTTCACGATGCAGTATTTTGCCCGTGACTGCTTCTTAGATGGCTGTACAAGTCATGATCAGTACGGTTGTGGTTTTGTTTGTAGAATAGCTCTCTGGGTTTTGTCTCTTCCCTTTCACTTCCAGAACTCTGTCTGAGGCTTTTATAATGCTGCTTTGGCAAAGCATTTCTTAAACTACCAGTAAGGACCTAACGTAGATCTTTAATAGTTCAGAAAAAGCTACTTTTTTTTTGTTTAGTTTCTGTGATCAGAGAATCCACCATGAATGACATCTGACCAGATCACTTCCTATATCAAGGTACAACTTGAATATTCAAATGTCTTCCATGTCCAAGCTATATTGCTTGTCCTGASAAGAGATGCATCAAGTCTAAGTAATTCATTTTGCTACTGTGTTGACTTAATTAAAGTCATTTTGAAGCAGTCTGTTCTTCATAGTTTGGATCACAAGAGGTGTTAAAGGACTTAAATTTAGCTATTCTTACAGAAGAGTTTCATGGATGATTCCTCAAGCTGATGTGTGGAAAGAACCTAAAACATCCTTGTCCTTCTCTTATTTAATAACAAAAGGATCAGTAGCCTTTAAAATACCTTAAATTTACCTTATGTTTTGAGGTCAAATCAAAAGAAGATTTTTTTTTCTAAGGATTGCATGATGTCATACTATGTGATCCAAAAATTCAGCAATATTTTATAAAGAGTTTACAGTACTGACTGTATTGTCTTATGACTGTGTCTGCAGGAGCACTTTGTATAAAAACTAACAGATTTGTTGCTTGTCAAGCTCCAACGTGGCAGGAAGCACCAAGGAAAAATAAGCTATGTGTGTTCCTGTGATGCTGAATGGCAGCATGACGAAACAACAATATTCAGTGTAGAGAAATACCAAGTGATGCACTTTTGATAAACAGGCCCAGTTTTACATCTGCAATAGCAGACTGTGAACTGGTTGTTGGCACAGTGGAAGGAGTTTTTGCAGTACAGAGTACTTGAGTGTTGCACATAGTTTTAAACTTTGTCTCCAGATGACARACTAGAGAATTACAGAAGAGTGCCAAGAGTGAGCAAAGCAATGGAATGATTCGTGCATAAGGAGTCTTTTAATCTGAAAAAATGAGGACTGATAGGGGAATGTGTGGTGTGGAAAAAGTGTAAGAAGGAGCTGAATAGAGAATAATACAATATCTCAAGTTGGAAGGGATCTGTAAGGATCATCAAGTCCAGATTCCAACTGGTCTTGACTCAAGTCAAGCTCTGGTTTTCCATAAGCGTATTAGTCCCTCATGCTTGCATTGTAAGGAARCAGATTCAAAAGAAAAAGGAGGTCATCCTTTTATGTAAGAGTCCTGCAATTTAACATGGGAACTTACTGTCACAGAATCTAGAATGTTTTCCTGGTTCAAAAAGTAATTAAATCAGATCAATGAAAGAAATGTATATTAGTAGCTRCCAAACCAAAGACATAATCTTTGAAGGCACTGGAGACGTAAATGTTTGAAAAATGAGAGACAACACACTGCTCACAGACACCATGCTAATTCCTCTGGGATTTTTTTTTATTGTCTACTACTAGAAAGAAAATGCAGCAGGTAAACCTATAATCTGATGCAAAATTATATTTGTGTTGGGTTTGGTTTGGGTTTTTAAATACAATTTTTAGGATGTGAAAGAAAATAAACTTCTAAAGAGAATTTACTGACTGTCTGAATTCTCTGAGTGGTATCAATGCAGATAGAATAAAACACACACCTTGCTTGCTTTGTTCAGTTTCTCACTCCCTTTTCTTATTCTGATGAGTAAATGGGGAAAAAAATGCAGATTTCTACGTGGCATGTGTGGAAGGGACATGGCAGTGTGATGAATAAACGTCAYTGTAATTAAAAAAGATATTAGGAATTTTTGGTTGTCTCTTCATTCTGGGCTCTGGTTTTCTTTGGTAACTTTTCCTTTGCTTAGCAATAGACAGCATTCTCCTGCAGCTGCCTGAAGGAAGTGAGAGAGGAAGGAYAGTGAATGGTACAATCTGTCTGCTTTCCCTTGGATGTGGAGGGCATCTCTTCTACAATGATCTCAATCTCTCTCTGAGGGAGAAAAGTGGCAAAGATACTTCTGAACATGGGTCATCCATCTGGTACCAGCCAAGCCAGCACACAGGCGGAGCTTTTAGTACTTGAAGCATCCTGCCCTTGAATATACAAACAGCTTTTGTGCCTGCAGCGGTTATCTGTGGTTTGTGTTTCTTGTGACTGCAAGCAAAGAGGGCAGCAGTTCTAGAGGAGACACAGCTATTAGATTATCTTACCCAGCTGGCTTAAATGATCATTAAAAAGCATCACTTGTTCAAGAGCTGTTTAAGAGGAGCAAAAGTGATGGCTTAATATGGTACTTTTACTGTATTGATAAGAATGAATTMGAAAATGTTATAATACTGGACCCCAGGCTTTGCTATTGAACTGCTGTAAAGCGAATATTTTGCTTTTGCAAAGGTTCTTAGAAAATACTGAATTTCAAACTATTCAACAAGATTTGCAATGAAAATCTTCATTGTATTGTTGCATCTTTTTTCTTCCAGAAATTGGTTGCCCAAATGAAGCAAGATCCACAGGTAACTATTTATTTTTAGATTGGATTGTTTACTGTTACAAATTCAGGAAATAACAGTGCATGAAACTTGAGGATTTTAGATATTTCTCGATCACCTTCTTCTTAGCTAACACAGTGTTTAGAAGAAAACTTACAAACAGGTTTTTGAACAATGACTGTTGGATTGTTTAAAACAAAACCAAAATTCTTGCTGTTGTGGAGCCTTTTGCCTCATACATATGCTTAATTGTTTTAATCAAGTCACTTTTCTGGGCTATGGTGCAGTTCAGATGTACAGTAAGTTTCTGATTCTATTGGAAGCTGCTCCCTATAAAAGCTGCCATTATTAGCAATATTTTTTTTTTGAATATCAGAAGGCTCACAGTACAACAAGAGAGAGGGTATTCTGTCCAAGGAATTTTGTCTACAAAATATAACTTAAGACTGGTCAGATTGCTTGTCTTGGGTATCTTATCAGCACTGTAGTGTCCACAGAACGGGCACTTGGCCTTGGGAAGTTTCAGAGCTACTGAAACTGGATAACTGGACTCCTTGCATAGACAGCAGTAGTCATCCCTTTCCTGATGACTGTGTAAGATCCCTGGGTTTTCTTGCACAGCAGTTAAACACTCCAGTATGCTGGATGGGGATGTGGAGTTCTCAAACAAGTCTGCAATGTTGAGTAGAGAGATAAATGCAGCTCACTTGAGGATTTGAGCTCCCATCCCCATACAATAGTAAATGTCCTGTATTTTCTGAATGTACATTTTTTTTTCTGAGCTCAGTGAAGTGAGAAGACAGTTTTTAATAACACTCAAGTAGTTAAACCTGTGAGAGAGGGAGGGTTAAGMAGGGTATATTGGAAAATCTGTTTTCTAAAACTGATGGGTATCAGTTTCTTATTCTGATGGGTTTTGGGTAATATCTCCTGCTCTTATTTGCTGGTCAGGTCTGCAAGCAATTGGTCAGCAGAGCAGTTTGCTTTCAGTTCATATTTGCTGAAAGTGAGGTCATGCTGTGAGCAGCCATGCAAAGTTCTAGAGTCAGGAAAAGTAAAGCTGGTCCCTATTTCCAATGCTCTGAATGCATTTTTATCCCAGATTATTAAGTAGAATCTGCAAGAAGGGAGGCTGACTGGTCCATATCTGGTTTTGCAGAAACTGGAGACTATCTGCAAGCTGAGATCAAAATGCATTTCAAAATTGTATGGAAGAATATAAAAATAGGGAATATGCATGTAGTTCCTCTAATGACATTAGCCTTGTGTTATAATATTTCTGCCCAGCAGACTAAACTTGCATGTAACAGAGTATAAAAACTTTACAACATAAATGAGAACCAAAAAGTGAGAAAGGAGAAAAATTAAGGGAAACTAGCTTCTCTTTCTGCAGAGCTTCTTTCTGCAGAGCTTCGCAGGTTTTAAACTAAGGACAGATGTTTCTTTAATTTTCTTTTTTTCAGTAGGAAAGAAAAAGTCCTGATAAAAATTGTTTTCTGTCTGCAATGTTCTAGTGATGCTTATGGCTTTCAAATCTGAGACATAGAAAAGTGCTACTGTAAGCAAAGTGCTGATACGAATGACRTGCCAAGGCAATTGTAATTCTCTTTAGTACAGTCTAAGGCATAAACATACATGGAAATAAGGACTTAGGTATGTTTGCCTTTAACTATTACACGTCAATTAAAATTTAATAGATATGTTTGATACTMTACACAGTYAAAAATAAATGTCTTTACATAAGTAGCATAGGTGAGAATGTTTTAGGTAACATACCATAGCATACTGTTATATGCAGTATGATACTATTGTATTACATATTAACAAACATTTATTGTTTAATTTGTAAACTTGATGAAATGTACAAATGTGCTTTATAATGTGATAAGCACTAATGGATGTTTTAATGAAATCTTTTTTCCAAATTGAGCTGTCTTTCTGAGTGCTAGAAAGGTCCTCTGATTATTGTTGCACTCAGTSACTTAAGTAAGGCTTTGTTGAGCCTCTTGAATTTTATTGGCTGTACATCCAGAGGTGCTGTATTTGTAGTACACTATGCAAAAAACAAACAAACAAAAAAAACCCACCTTCCTGCTACTACTCTATGTTAACAAATGGAATATCTTTCTCACAGATATTTTTTCTTTCTAATCAGAACGCTGATTTGAAGAAACAGCTTCATGAACTTCAAGCCAAAATCACAGCTCTGAGTGAGAAACAGGTAGGGAAACAGAGATATATTTTTAACACCATGTTCTAAAGATGTCTCTTTTCCCGGATTCCATGAGAGCTGCTAAACCTTTAAGTGCAGAAATAAGTGTGGGCAACCAGACATTTTTGATTTTTATTGGATTTCTCAACAAAGGATAGGATGAGTTATTGTGAATCTATCAAACAAGAAACTAGTTTAATCAGTGGAGGCTGTAGCAGTTTTTCTTGTGTTGAAACGAATGTTTTAAATTAAGGGAGATGGAAAAATAGATTAATTTTGTCGCTTTCTTTATTAGTATCTTAAAACTTCCAAACRAGACCATTCTGGTTTAGGCAAATCTTTAGATTTTGACTTAGTAGGCCCACACTGTGTATATGGGTGAGTATGCTGGAATTTTTCTTAATGTCTAGACCAAMTAAATTTATGTCAGTTATGGGTACTTAATAGACAATTTGAAAATTAGTTGGATGTTTTTATCATGATAAATTACACCACAACTGTCTTATATTTGCCATTTGGTAGGAATTCTCTTTGACAGTTCTAAAGTATGAGTAATCATTACAACTGAATGCTTAACAGAAAGACTGTTGAACTTGAGCATGGGCTTCGTGAGCGACAAGAAGAAATATATGTAACATTGAGATATCTACAAAACTTGTTCTCACTTTTGTTTTTAAGAACATAAAAGAGCAGCGCATASACAAACACCTCATACACCACACCATCCCATCCTTAGTAAACTGACTTAAGCAGTTCCTTAATTGTATTACTTAATGTATCAGTAATGGAATCAATTTAGGTCAACAGATTAGATCTTTGGAAGGGGAAAATATTTTAGAGCATASGTAAAATGCGTAGTGTTTCAACTAGATACCTCCATTCACCTGTTACTAGCTGCATGTGTCCTGTTTTGAGAATGATTATTCCTAAGAAAATGTCCAGACAATGATTAACATTTGTCTAGAAATTTTGTTTACTGAAAAAAATTATAGTATGTTTTAATAGGGGAACAGTGAATCCAAGAAGAAACATGTAAGGATAATAAAGAAAATGATTTTTTAATGAGAATAGTAGTTCAACAAAAACGGAGGTTTTGCTGATGTGATAGCATGCGTCTCTTGAAGGTGATTTATTCTCTAAAACCAGCATGAGCCTCTGCATGGGGCTATGTCTCACAGCAAGCTGTTTCAGGATTCTCTGGTAAGCTCTAGATGCCCATGGTAATTTCAAAATGAGCTTGTCCTGATGCCATGAAGCAAGCTGTATTGACTACCAGTTCATGTGAGGAGCATGAACAGGTGGTGAGATCCTGTGTGGAATGTAAGAAAGCAAGTACATCTTACCATAACTTTTAAACTTGTATTTATACACTTGTATTTATAACTCTCTCTAGTTATGCTACGTAGTAGTCTATACTAACATGTATTTTAAATTACCCATCACTAGAAATGCACCTATATATTTTCTGTTGAGTTCTAACTACTAAAGGACACTTGATCATAGGATGAACATGGGTTTTCAAAAGATGTTGAAAAATGTTTCACTTTACTTATACTACACAGTGCGTACAGTCAGTATGAAGTCACGGTAGTTTGTTTCTTTGTGTTTTCGTGRGTTTGATTATCAGAACAACAGTGAACTTCTCTATGATTACTGAAGTTTAAATATTTTTGTTATCTCTACCACTGGACTGCAGAGCTGCCAGTGTCCCAGATGATAATGTTGTTAAAAGTATTGTGCTGCTAAAATGCAATGGTCGTGGCAAATGTAAGTTCTGGGAAAAGAACAACTTCCCTATGCAAAGGAGTTCTCACTCACTTGGTCTTTATTTGCAGGAATCTGTTGTATAGAAATCTGTGACTTAGCAATGCTGTTGAGTAGCATCTTAAGAAACTACAACAAAGCCCTTGTTTCTGTTTTCACTTCCAGTTCTCTTCAGGAAAAATAATTATCAGTTTTTTAATGGGTAGAATATTAATCAACAATTTAATTTTCACACAGCATGGAACAATGTGCAGTTGTGCATAGTAAATATAATGGTTTACATCGTGCAGTGCATGTGTTAAAAAGGAGCGCAACATGTGTGATCTATATTCTTGCATAGAGCCAAGTAGGTTTTTCGTGCCTGATGTTCAGTGAGTAAATTCTGAAGACCCAGCTCCACTGTGGGCAGTTATAGGTTGCATGTTGGTCACTGATCAGCTTTTAATGAAGTGTGAGAARCTAAAGTTCCAGCCTGTGTGGCATCCCTACTTGGAGACATGGAGCTGAGACCCTGGTGTTAGAAAGGTAGAATAATGAAATATTTCTGGCACGGGAAATGCTATATCACCCTCATGCACGCTTTTTCTTTGCTCTCTTATTTAATAAAGTTGCATGAAGACTTGTGCAAGAATCAAGTCAGTGGTAGGTTTAGTGAAAAGCTTTYAGTTGCTTTAGGACTTCTCTCCGTTTCTGAAGCATTGTGAGAATAGTGCCGACACTTGCTGCCACTCGCTGCAGTGATTCATAGTGGCTTAGGTGTCTTGCTGAGAATTAATAATGACAGTTCTGTTCAGAAGTTTGTGGAATTGAGGAGATCTGGCAAAGTACAGAAAGAAAGCAAGTAGGCTGTACAGCGTGTAGGCTTAAACCTAAAAAAATTTGTTAGCTGATGCACAGTTGAACTGTTACAGCATAAGGTATGTCATATATTCATGTGTTTTTTTGAAAATGTCAGAGGTGAAAATAAGGCTTTGATTTGTTACACCTGAGAGACGATGGATCAACGTATGCTGAGTATGTTAACACTTGAAAGTAAAGCTACAAAAAGTGAAAGAAACTTATTTGAAGATAACTTGCATTTGAAGGGCAGTAAGTATGAATTCTTCAGACTAGTAGATTTCCCTCTGCTATTATTTTCACAGAGCTCTAAACTATGCCTGCTTCTTTACTAATCTGAGGGCAATAAGGGGAATTCAGTTTAACAGTATTGMACCTCAGCTGTAAAAGTGAGAGCTGCAGTTTAGAAAGTCTGAATGCATTGGTCTTAAAACTTTCTTTCCTCTTTCTTTCCCCACCCCCCTCTTCCATAAAGAGAAGTCAAGAGTAACTTTTTGCAGAGCAGTTGTAATTGGCAAATCTAAGCTTGGATTGTAAATGTGAATTATTTCTGTTGCTTTGAAGTACTGTTTTTTATTATGTTTTCACATCTTTGGATGAAAGTCATAGTCTTAGCACATTTTCCTTCACTTGTTATTCTGCAATAGTGTTWTCTCTTGGCGATCCGTTTTGTAGAATTTTGCCCACAATTACTTATCACTATTCAGCTTTGTCTGGGTTAAATACACTCTTTACAATAAAAACCAAAGAATGTATTTTCAAKTTTTTCCATGAGGAAGTTTCTTAGGGTATACTTTTTTTATTTTGGGGAGGTGGGCTGCAAATTGGTAACAATGACACTAGTGAAAGACARAGATAGAGCAGGGCTAGCATAAAGGATCAGGAGGGATGTAATCTTGAAGTAATACCTTTTCTTCTGCCTCTTTTCCTCCACAGTTAATTTATAAAAAAAGAACATGAACATACAGATGTATCATGATTGAGTCCATACCATAATAGTAATTTTCTTCAATGACAAGGAAAAGGTCATTTGGGAAGCAAAAAAAAATTTTAGCAATATTGGGTCAGATATAGAGAAATTTCTAAAACTGTCCTTGTCACAAAGTCTTGGAAAAGTTAGAKCAACATTCTGTCTTAAATGTGTAAGAAAGCTTACACAAATAGTCTTTTGTCTCTGTGACAAAAGGGTGATGGTGATAAGCATGCACTAAAAAATCACACGGCTCTTTCTCTTATACTTGAAAATAAAATGCAAATGTCTCTTTCTGTAGTTCAGTGAAATTAATYGAATCTTCAAATAAACAGTGTTGTGAAAACTAGACTTGTATTCTAATCCATGTCCTCTTGACATGGAAAGAATAAAGTGGATTCCTTTGTTATTTTGCTTTCTGAAGAGCTGTATATATGCAGGAAAATGTACTCAGAAATAGTTGTCAGCATATATATGCTATGTGGGGATACTTGTAGTTTTATTTTTTCACCGGGGAAAAACTTTAACACACTTCATTGTGAATAGTAGTTGAAATTGTAGAATGTAATTAGAAAAAATGCACACCGTAAAAGCAAGTTTATCTCTATTATTATGAATAGKCAGATCTAGTGAATTGTGCTTGTATTTAGAGTTTACTGCAAATTGAGATAGATGAGATTATTCTAAGTCCTGTATGTTCAGGGTGAGGCACCTTTTAACCCTGCCATTAAATAGCGAGTAAGAAGAAAGGGGATTTGGGAAAGACTTAAAAAATGATAGTGTAATTTAACCATATTTTCTTATAGTTGAATAAATGTAAATGTAAACATGTGGTTTAGACTGACAAAGGAAACTTGTTATTTAAGTCTTCAAAAACTGTCAGAAATAGCTTTTAAAGGTTTCTGTTGCTATATTTGTTACAGGTACCATAACTGAGTAATGAAAAGATTGGTGATGTGCATTAATTCATCCTATGAGACTGTGTTCTTCTTTAACAGTTGTCAATCACGGTAAAGGTGAATTTTTATGGAGGCTTTTTGAGCACATTATCAGAAAATTGTACCYGAAACATCATGTTCTGTAAAGAGAAGAAGCAGTGCTTTGATGAGGGGAAAATAAGCTCAAGAAAGCTAGAGAGCARGAGGGAAACTGGGTACTAGTAGCAGGTAGGAAAGAGCACTTCATGCTTGTGCATAAAAAGGTARGCAAGTGTCATGTTCCAACCGTGGGGAACTGAGAGTTCTTTTAAAATGGATGGTCAAGAACGAAATGAAGTCAAACGACAAAACAAACTTTGTATCTCAGAACCATTTATTGGCAATGAGAAAGTTGAAAAAGCGAGAATTGCCCACTAAACGGGGCTGGAAAAGACAGCAAAGGAGAAATAAAAATGGAAAAAGGATAGGGAGAGAGAGAAAGGAGACAGAGGGCAAAAGCG